TACAGAAAAACCACAAGGCTTGGCTTAATTGTCACGAATCCATGAAAGTGTCAAGAAGCAATCAGAATACAAGAACCTCTTGGGTGTGTTTTTCTCTGTGAAGTCATTACAAGCAAAGATCAGTGAAGACCAGTCAAGAAGAGTTGCAAGATGAACCAATACAAGAGTGTCATTCTCTGTCTACTTACACTCTTTCCAAGCAGCACATGTCTTTTCATGTGTCTGCTTCAGTAAAACATCCTTTCATAAGACAGCTTCCAGATAAACATCATTGACATAACTGGGTCTCCAATGAAACCAAAAATTTCCACTTCACCTATCCATGCTTAAATATCTTCAATGAATCAGATCAAGAAGGTCATGATGGGAAGTAGATCTTTCAGCTCTCTGAACTGGGTTCTTTAGCAGCTGGTGAGTTTCTTTTACTCCACCATTGTTCAGTGTGATGAGCAGGAAGCAAATCATAAAAGACACCTAGACTCACCTGTCTACCATTGTTGTTCAACCTCAGCACTGGTCACTAAAATTTGAAACTTGAAACCTTGTTCCTCCAGTAAACAAAATGATAGAAATATTTAGCAAATTTTAAAACTCAAGGACATTTATACTGAAAGGTATTCCATTAGTATTATACAGAAACACAAAAATAAGCCACTCTGCCACTATACAAAGTAAAGCCTTTTACATTCTGTGCTGTTTTTCACCCATTACTAACAGTATGTTAGAAATATCTTCACATTGGAGAGATGGCGCAACCATTCATTAGAGGCTAGGCTCACAACCAAAAATGTAAGAGGAATACCTTCACCAGAATTTTCACTGAAATACTTATTTATATTCACCTCTCCTTTTCAGAAAGGGTATGAAGCCATTGCATTGGTTCAAATCAGAAAGCCCTTGAAGGTAATAAGTATCCTTCCCACAATATAGGAGAGGAAGCAGCTGCATGCAGGTGAATTTTATCCTAGTTAGGAAGAAAGTCTTGGAGGTAGTTAATGGTCTACCTTTACCTGTACCACAGACTATAGCAGAAGGTATACAATCAAAACTTGAGTGATGTAGACGTGGTAGACATGATCAGATAACTTTTTTATACAAGTAATATTATTTTACATGTAAAGTTTTCTTAGCTCTCAGTATGTTGTAATATTTTCCAGATTCAAAACATGATGTCATAGACACAGTGGTATCTATAAAAAAGAGAGCTATCACCTCTACCCATGCTCTACCTCTGAGCATTTCCTATTGCTAAAATTCCAGGGTCAAGTTCAACAATGTTTTGGTGTTATTTTTAAAATTGTATCTCAATAGAAACATATTTCTATTCCTTTAACATCCTTTAATAGTTTATAAATAATTAATCAAAGTACTTAAAGTAACAAGACTATTTAAAAATTCCATCTAGCTCTAGATTTGTTACTAATGCCCAGAGCAAATGCTATTAATTCTTCCACAAAGTAATGATTTAAAAAAAATCAGAAAGCAGGTAAATTTTGTCAATAGGTACCTTTTATTAATCTACTTCTGTTCCATTTTGACACAGCTTCTATGGCTCCAGAATTTCATATCTATTGGCATCCCTTTGAGGTTCACAGTAGAACCTAGTAGAAGCTAGTCATTCAACACCCCCCCCACTTTGTAGACTAATATGGCTGAGGCCCTTCAGGGTGGTGGAGGATAGCAAATTACTTCTGTTCTCACACTGTTGCCCATTTTTTTATTTTGTCACCCACCTCAGTCCCATAACAATTGTCTACAGGCCTCTGAATCGGCACTTTCTGTCACATATATTTTGTTTTGTTTTATTCTCTTGGAATTTATTTCTTTAAACCAAACTCTAATTCAAGTACCACTTTCCCACACATTCTTATAGCCAAGTGTCATCTCTCTTTATTGGCTACTCCCTTGCCATCTTATTCCATTCCTGCTCACTATTCAGCTCAAGTATATCTGGCTCATCTTCTTTATTAAGCCAATGTCTACCGACTACATGACTGTCTTTGTCACATCTTGGCCCTTGCCACTGTGCCTGTAGGCTCTGCAGACCAGAATGGGGGATATGTGAACAACCAGGATTGGGGATGAGGTGGGATGAATGAGGGAAGCCTATAAAGGGTAATCAGGATAAACAGATTTATAAGGCTCTCTATGAGAAGTATAATCCTGAGCTTCAGCATCCCCTGGGAGTTTACTAAATGTACAGACTATTGCTCTACCTGGTGACCCAAGTCTGTAATTCTATCTACCAGGGAAGCCAAGATCATAACCTGCCAAGGATACAGCATGAGTTCAATGCGAGCCACCCTAAGCAACATAATGAGACCTTGTCTCAAAATAAGAAGTAAAAAGAGGCAAGATAATAAAAACAAATAATCAAAAAGTCACTGGGATGGAGTTTAAAACCTGATTCAAAACAGAAAGCTTGCCAGTATGATTGGAAGCACGGGGGCTATAGGACTAGATTTATAGGTTTACAGATCTGCTTTGAAGTTGAATGGCCATGTGCTCTGAGATTCATGAAACCACACCTTTTGGTTTCTCTCCTACCATAAAGATTTGCCTGTAACTCAAAATTTTACTGTGCCTTGGAATCTCTAGAGTTCCTTTGAAATAAAAATACAATTTTGACTTCTCACTTCAGAAAATCAATTCTATAGGCTAGATAATAATCCATATTTCAAAATAAGCCCCAAATGGTATTGATATGGCCGATTCAAGCATCACTTTAACAGTTCTGATATAAAGAGTCTGTGTAATGCCCTTCAGGTGTTAGATACTGGGTGAAAGGATATGTGTATGTATATATAATCACACATATATTTTATCTATCCACAGTAGATTTAGCCATATATCAAAACCAACATTTAGAGCTAAACAAAGGCCATAGCTGATCATGGTCTTTTAAAAGAAAGCATGATGTCCACAAAATCAAAACATGAATTCTCATTGATAACCTGAGTATCTATTACTGTTTCAAATTCATATTTTTTCACCATGGTTTCATGTAAACAAGCCAAGATTGAGGCACCACATAAGATGTACACTACAACAGCTTCAGCCTGTGTCCTCCTTTGGGACTTAGGAAGTCAGCCCAGGACCCCGTAAGCTGCTCTTCAGTCTCTTGAAAGCAAAGCAACAAAGATGCAAGTAGAGGCATAGTTCATCAAAGAGGAACATCATTTGTTAAAGGGACCATTTCAATAGAAGAGTAAAATTACATCTTCCAGAAGATATTGTTATGTCTTTTATGTGTAAGGATAACTTTTGTGAAGGTGTTCTTTCTCAGCATTTGTCAAAAGTATTTGAAATCCATTCAAACAACCATGCTGTTTAAAAAATGGCTCATGGGTTATCCATTAACATTAATAAATTTGCTAAGGCAAAATTCCACCATGCTGAACAGGAGCTGCATTAACCTCAGTATGAGCTCAGTTTTTTGGTTTTTTTTTTTTTAATTTGTGTGTGTGTGTGTGTGTGTGTTTCTCTCTCTCTCTCTCTCTCTCTCTCTCTCTCTCTCTCCTTGTAATATATCATTTCAATAAAATAATTCAAATAAATATTAGAAAAACAGAACCAATTTTAAGAGTGCACATGTACCCTCTGATAGGATATAATAGCAAAAGAATAACAGCATCTGTGTGAGATAGCAATAAAAATTCTTATGCTGAATATATAGTGAAATTTGCAGAAGTACACATTGTTAGAGGCATCTTAAGATAAAAAGCTTGTGACTGTCCCCAGAGTCAAGAGTAATGAATGCCACTGACAGTGTATGAAATTTTTTGGGTAAAAGAGACTATAGAGATGTAATGGGTGCAGGCAATACAGGATCCCTAACTGAACCATTTATATATAAAGGGCACTCTCACTTCAAGAAAGTCCAAGGATTGAATGCTAGCAATATACAGTCTTCTTTTATCAGTCTAGTTTGTTTTCTTGCATTTAAAAAAAAAGTTGGGTCCTTTAATGAGATCTCACTATATAGGGAGGGTGGAAACAGAATATAGAAAGATGTCAACAAGATGTCTCAAAAAGAGGGGTGGGGAATGCCATTTAAGGCTTAAAACTCTCTCGGTAGAAACTTAAAGAAATCCTCAAGGCTTCAGAGGAAGGGATCAGTCTTCTCAGGGTGATTCTCTTCAAGTATGCAGAAGGAGTAAAGGAGCCTCAGCTGCTCCTTTGTGATCACAGACTTCCTTGTATACATTTGAGTGCTGCAGGGCTTAGAGGTAGGTTAAAAGCCAGTACCTGTGTGCTCCAGACTCCTCTCCCTACATAGCTGGCTGTAGTCCTCAGAGGGAAAACATTCTTTGGGCTAGCTGTGCATCTTCAGGCTGGGTTTTCTGTAGTCAGTCCTAGCAGATAGGTGTGCCCCAAGTTGTCTGCCCCACTCCTAAAAGCAGAATGCTCACCAGATTCAGGCTTGCTTTCTTTACTTCTTTCTTTCTTCCTTCCTTCCTTCCTTCCTTCCTTCCTTCCTTCCTTCCTTCCTTTCTTCCTCCCTTCCTTCCTTCCTTCCTCCCTCCCTCCCTCCCTCCCTCCCTCCCTCCCTCCCTCCCTTCCTTCCTTCCTTCCTTTTTTCCTTTCTTTCTTTTTTCTTTCTTTCTTCTTTTTTTTTAAGACAGAGTTTCTTCTTATAGTGCTGGATGTCCTGAAGTGCACTGTATAGGCCAGTCTGGCCTCAAACTCATGTAGATTCACCTGTCTCTCCCTCCTGAGTGCTGGGATTAATGCGGTCCACTACCACTGCTCAGCAAGCTTAGATTTTTATCAAATATTTAAAGTACTTTCAATCTTTAGATGTATGTACATATGTATATATGCGTATGTATTTTTGTATGCCAAATGGTATTTGGAAACAGTGTTACAATTATCCATGTAAAATTGAAGTAGCACAATGTTCTGATATAGCAGGTAGATACATGTACATGTGGCTGCTCTTCCAAAACTGAAGCATCTATTTTTCTCCTGTGTTTCTTCTTTCTCCTGTTGGGTTACAGGCACAGCCCTTGTTGTCCAGTGGGACCATGTCCACCTGCAGGATAATTACAACCTGGGAAGCTTCACATTCCAGGCCACACTCCTCATGGATGGGCGTATCATCTTTGGATACAAAGAAGTAAGTGACAAGCTGTAGATGCCTTTCCTATTGTCCATTCTCATAACCTTTCCTTTTTACTATTGAAATATTATTGACAAAAGCTTTTGATCATTTTCTTTCTTTCTTTTGTTGAATAAAGTAACTTTTTTATTGTACTGAACACTGTGAGTTAAGATGGGGGTGCTTCTTTTGTTTTGCATTCTGATATCAGTAGCATTATGACCCATAAAATTGTGAAATTATAATACTGATTATTATTATAATTATAAGGAATATAATAATGATTATTTTTAAGGATTTTTTTATCCTTATATAGGTATTTACAATTTTAGGTTTGGTGGAGTTTTGGCTTGCTAATTTCTTATTTTACTCTGGCCCCCCAAATATTAGTTGTCATGAAAATGCTTCATTTTAATACTGAGTTCCAGGAAAGTAATGCCTATACTTTTCTGGGTAATATTTTCTAAAATCTAACAGGAAGTATTATTAGAAACTTAACAAATAAGAAAACAAGAGAACCTAAATTATATCTTGTTTCATATTAACAAACTGACAAAGAATAGAAATTTACAAAATTGTAACCTTAAACTTTGTAGAACTTTTAGACTATAATAATAGTTCATTTGATTTCAAACTTTGTTGACAGTATAATGAAGATTTACTAGATGAAGAGTATATGAAAAAATTAACAAGAACTACACATGTAATTTTTAAGGCAGTAGTAGCTACAAGAGTAATTCTGATATGGAAATTATTAGTGGGCATGTTTAACATGTAGTCAATGGGTGATTTTAATACAATTTTGTATTCTGACATCATAAGCAATATGAACTGTAATTTTCTGAAATTATTGAATATTTTATAGTATTATAAGAAATACCTAAGAAAGAATAATTATTTTTAAAAGACTTTTAATCCATACCTACTTTTAAATTCAAGAATTATTTTTAAGAATCCCTGATTTTAAAACGGTTGTGATAATAGAGGATTCACAGTGGCCATCTTTTCTGAAATCTATAGTGCCATGTAGCACTATAAAACTTCACCTAAATGTAACAACTTTTTAAAAGCTAACAATTGTCGTTAGTTATTTATATTATTTGGACAAGACTCTCTACTCAGCATTTTATTTCCTTGGGGCACTCTGCAGGTGGAGAAAGAATGGAAATGTGTGTTGCCCTGCATTGCTTTATCCAGGGCTATGTTTAGATGTCCAGTGTGTTCTTATGACACCTTCCCTTGAAGCTGGGAATCATTCTCTGAGAATATTTCTAAGAATAGAATAGTCTCATTCATTCCCAGAGTTTGCTGTGTCCTAAGGGACTTGCTGGAATTTCAGTGTAACATCTAGAAATAGTTTTTGATAGTTTTAACTATCACTGTTGGTTTAAACTGTTTCTGGAAAGATCATAGACAGTAAGTCTGATGTCTTCCCTCATATCCAACATCAAAATTGTCAAAACAGAGATTTGTATGTTATTCTGGCCTCATTTTCTAGCTTTTATGATCAAAATTGCCATGTTTATTTTTACTATCCTTCAGGACTGTCGCACACTGCAGAGTTCAAACCAATTCTTTTGTTTCTTCTTTGTTCTCAGTTGGCATTTCAGAATGTTTTATCATATTTGTCCATTTTCATCAAGGAAAAATTTCCCATTGTGGTTTTTTTTTTTTTTTGCATTCTCATGAGGACTTTTAAGCTGACAAACAATTCAATGTTGCCTGACTTTCCAGACTGTGACAATACCTCTCTACTCTGTCCTTAGTTCCCAGAGGTCTCTAATTATTATTATTTGCTTTTCTATCCTTTTTTCAAAAAGTAGTTTCCTTCTTTTTATTTCAGATGACTTTCATAAACTTCTGTGTAAAATGTATTTCCAAAATTGCTCTAGCTGACTGCTATAATCCTTGTCTAGCATAACCAAGGTCCTAAGTTCCATCCTCAGAAACACAGACACATGAACATCTTTCTGAATTTCTTTTTGTAAAATTTTTCAAAATAAGAGTCCCTGTGCAGCTCTGGGGAGATGGCTCAACTGGTAAAGTTCTTGCGATGCAGGCAGGAGGATCTGACTTCAATTCCCCAGAACTCGTGTTAGAATAAAAAAAAATGATATGGTGGCATATACTTGTAGCTCTAAGACTGGGGGCTTGGAGACAGATAAATTCCTAATGCTTACTGAACAACAAGCCTAGTCTAGTTAGCAAGTGTCCAAATAATGAGAAACCATCTCTGGATAATGAGATAGGTTGTCCCCTAAGAATGACATCTGAGAATGATCTTTGGCCATCACACACACTTGCACATAAGTGTACCTTCACACACAATGTCCCTCTGAATTTAGAGTAGCAACTAAATGTTTTCTTTACTTCCAAGGAGAATATTTTATGATCACAGGACAGGAAAAAATGTGTTCATCAAAGCTTATGACCATTTAGGAAGTTCTTTCACATGTAGTATCCAGGTGTTTAATAGTTCCTGGATGCTTTATCTCTTTCCTGCAATAGTTCCTGGATGCTTTATCTCCTTCCTGTAGCATCAAAGCACCAACACCAGGGTTGAGCAATGAATGCTGTGGGTTGATGAAACTGTATAATACTTGGTGATCTTATAGCAAATCAAACCGAATGAAAGACTTTAAATGATGTGCTCAGACATATGATTAAATAAAGAATAATTTATCATTAAGTCACTTTATTTGATGATTCTAGTCTCTTGGTCTTTTTCTTTCCAAAGAAGCTATGTATAGCAACTTATAAAACCATGTTATTTGTGTTTTAAATAAATTCTTGTTGATATTTCCAATTCAATCATTCTTTATATTAGGTTCTACCCAATTGGACAAAAATCGGAAGAAGTATCCCAGTTAATTTTTAAAGCCATGACTGAAACACTAGATATGTAAATAGTAAAATCTTGAGCATCTTTCCAGAATCAAAAACTGAAATTGTAAAGATAGAAGTAAGCACAAATAGCTCTGCCAAGGATTGATCTTTACAAACTGAGGACAGCTTTGCTTAATTTTGCTGTGTTTGGAATAAGGGATTGGAAAAACTCTTGCTTAGATAAATCCACCAATAAAGAACTTAGTTGGTTATATTGCAAGTTAAAAGTAATACTGCATGTCATGCAAAAATTCATTTCCATTGCTCTCATGATTGTGTATGTTATTTACATTTCTCTTTGTTACCATTGGCACACCGGCCACCCATACCAACTTCTCAAATGGCCCTCCCATTCTGTTAAGCTTCCAAATATTCATTTTCCAACAGCATTTATTTTCTTATGGTGTTGAGCAGGGAAAGAATTATCAAGAAATAACCAAATCCATTTCCACTTCCCATAATAATCTTGCTTCTGCTGAAACTGCATTAGAGGATTGCTGCCTTTCCCTAAACTACATGGATTTGCACATAACTCTCACCAATTCTTCAGCAGTGTCAAGCTGTTCTCTGCAGCTGTACTGTTATTAGCAGCCTAAATTCCTTCAAATAGTTCCTTCTTCTGTGTTATTGAACCAAAGGTTTGAAATCCAGTTTTGAAAATCATTTTAGAGCCAAATTATTTATTCTAATGTTGACCATGTCTCTACTTGATTATATTCTCTCAGGACCTTTATGTGAGCCTGATGATGCTTTTTGTGTGTATGTTTGGGTCAGACCATGTTTTTGCAAGATCCTTTCTCTGGCTTTCTTCTCAAATGAAATACCCACCCTGGTGTGAGTGTCCTGAGGCAGGCAAAATAGGCTTTGGCATTTGGGAACCCACTTCCTTGTCTTCTTTTACATAAAGTGATATCACTTATTCACCAGTTCAAGAGTAAGCAACTTTAATTTGCAGGTTAGACTGGTTGCTTGTAAATTTTTTATTGTGCATGAAGAATACATGTAGTTTGTTGCCAATATATAAATATTAGAACATTTCAAATCAAAATAATCACATGTGTTTTCCTTAAGGTAACTAAAACCCTAGAATC